GTAATGGCCTTATTACCGACTAGGATGTTTGAATTAGAATTACTTCCTTCTCGAATGAATCAACATGGATTCACACTTCAACTATCAAAGTTGTCATAACATAAAAGATCGAGAAATTATGGCACGATGCCTCACTAGCAAATCTTCATCCATCAAACCTAATGAAGTTTGTCACTTGGTCATGTAGAAGGTTCACCTAAAGGTAAGGTTTGACAAAACTCCCGAATCAGACCTGAACCAAATCGAATGGTTCTTATTAAATTAAATACCCAAACGAGTATCTAAATCGAGAACTGACGGGTTCGATTCGGTTCTCGATTTTAGACCTAGAATCGAAAAACCGAATAAGAACTGAATCTCCCTAATTTTTTTTATATTAAATAAGTCAAATTATTTTATTTTTTAAAAATGAATTTACTAACTAATTAATTTAACTCAAACTTAAAATATAATCTTACTATTGTCAATTTTCAACCAAGCCCAATTTAATCAAATTAACCTAAAATTTATCTAAATCTTTTATTCTATCGTAGAGTTGTTTCTGTTGTTCTATTATTGTGAACTCGCTATCCTCCCCTTCTTATAATTTTAACAGTCAAATATATGAAAAACTCAACAAAGAAATGTGCAAAATATATCACCAGATTGGACTACATTATTTTGTAAAAGTTAAGATGGAACATGTCATAGTCGAATTAATGTAGCGTTGCTGTAAATATAAAGAAATTACTTATTGTACGGAATCCGGGAACTGAACCGGACCAAACCGAATGGAATGGAACTAAACCAGAACAATTCCATAATTAAATTTGGACCCGATGTTCCATTTACTAAATATCCGAAAATTTCGGCTTAGTTCAGTTCTTTTTAGAACTGAACCAAACTAAACCATGTTTAGTCCTACCCAAAGGAGATGCTCGACTTAAGGTTCATCTCCAAGTAGTGAGGGCAATGGAATGGGACGGGACGGGACCGGGGCAGGGGGCTCCCCGCCCCGTTACCCATTTAAGGCGGGACGAGGCGAGGTTCTTGCCCTGTTTACTAGCCCATTAATTTTTTTTTTTTATAATAATTCATTTTATTGCCCCTATTCATTAGATTGAGACAATAATATATTTTTTAATCTTTACTTATTTTTAAAAGTTAAATTATTCAAATATATTTGATAAACTAAGCTTTTATTTTTTGATATATTTTTTAGATAATTTTAGTTACCTTTTTCTATTAGAATTAATGAAATTTCATGAAATTTTCCATTTAAAATATTAAATTAAAAAAAAATTAAATGGGACGGGACACCCGTTACCTGTCTTAACCCGAATACTCGATTAAGCGAGTAATCCCCGCCAGTTCAGGACGGGGTGTTTCGCGCGGGTAGTCGCTAACAATTAAAAGGAAATTCAGACGATTGTGTAAGGGACAAACCTCTTGAGACAAAATCCTAAAAAGGGGTGCTTTATTGATGAGAGTTACAATCAGAACTAAACAGAAT